CCTGACTGTCACAAAGTCTAAACTCTGCTCTGTATTATATTTTATTTGTTTTTGTTTTTCCTAAAGACTGAGGACATGGGACAGAGAGGTAGTAAGTTTGAGGCCTCTGCCATAGCCCAGAGTAGCATTTGGATCACTCTTTCATTTCCTTTCCTGAGTTTCGGGGCAGGGGGGCGGGAAGGGCAGCCAGTTATTTGAGGACCACCCCATCCAGAGATTAATTCAGGATTGCTAGTGGAGGTAAAGCCATGGCCAGAATTACCACAAGTTACCTTCCAAATTACTGAGCTAGTTTTATTTTTCTGAACGTCAGTTGCAGGTCTGGGGATATAGGTTTGTGTAACAGGGATCTAGAACTCTGTGCAGACAGAGGGAGAAAGGATATTATTACCAGTGGGAAAGAGAGGAAGGATGGGAGCTTCAAAGAATGAGAAAAAAGAAAGGTAGGAAAGGTGGTAGGTAGGAAAAAAGAAAAAAATGGAGTTACAAGGTGTCAATTGATTACTTTGCAAAATAGTAATTTTTCTGTCACTTTAGACATTCAAACAGAGGCAGAACAGCCTCTGTATTCATTTCCTACTGGGGCTATAACAAAATATCACACGTTTAGTGGCTTCAAACAATACAAATGTATTGCCCTGTGGTTCTGGAGATCGGAAGTCCAAAATGAGTCAAAAATCGGTCTGACTGGGCTAAGGATCAACTAGGGCTGTGTTCCTTCTGGAAGCTCAAAGGGAAAGTCCCTTTTTCTTGCCCTTTTTCATCTTCTAGAATATGCCTACATTCCTTCGTCCATTTCCATTTCAAATCCAGCAATGGTTTTTAAAGTCTTTCTTACATCACATCTCTCTGACATTGACTCTTTTCCACATTTGAAGGATCCCTGTGATTACACAGAGCCCACCAGGATAGTCTAGGATAAGCTCCCCATTTCAAGGTCAGCTGATTAGCAACCTTTGTTCCCTCTTGCCAAGGACAGTGACATACTCACAGGTTCTGGGAATTAGGACATAGGCATCTTTGGTGGGCCATTATTCTGCTTACCACAGCCTCTCATTAAGAGTGTTGCAAAGAGACAGGCAATTGGGCAAGCCCTTTAATGTGAAAGTCTTAAGGAATAGGAGGAAAAAAAGCTATTTCTCAAGAAAAAATTTGAGGTGGATGAAATCTATTTCCCAGGTAGTGTTTGAGCTCCTTCTAGAGCTTGCCTTCCCTCTTGGCATCTATATGTAAGGCTGGGCTCATAGGTTCACCAGAGTCTCTAGAATAAATGCGCCCTTGGGTCTGTCTGACCTGGGCATGCTTTCTTTCTTTCTTTTTTTTAAGATTTTATTTATTTATTTGACAGAGAGAGAGAGACAGCGAGAGAGGGAACACAAGCAAGGGAAGTGTGAGAGGGAGAAGCAGGCTTCCCGCTGAGCAGGGAGCCCGATGCAGGGCTCCATCCCAGGACCCTGGGATCATGACCTGCCGAAGGCAGATGCTTAATGACTGAGCCACCCAGGCACCCGCTGGGCATGCTTTCTCTTTTCCCTTTCTGATAATCAAATTGACATATTCCAACTCTCATTTTTTTTCAAAACTCTCCTTTTTCTACGTTTCTCCCCCCACCCCAGTGTGTGAAATAAATATATGAGTTCAAAGTATTTGCATTCATTTGTCTATAGTACTTCTAGGGTGATGCTGGAAGACTTGTTTTTGGGTGTTGGGAGAAACATGTCTGTTGGAGTTGCTTATAGCCCACTAATCCCATCACATAAACGTGTCCTGCATATAGCCAGCCTGGTTTAAAAGTTCAGGGCCATTTGTGCTCGGAAGATAGCTTGGTATGTCTATACAGAGAAACTATTTAAGTATCTTATGAGAGTAGCAATTTTTAAAACATTCAACCCTTGGGTGCCAGGGTGGCTCAGATGGTTAAGCGTCTGCCTTCGGCTCAGGTCATGATCCCGGAGTCCTGGGATCGAGTCCTGCATCGGGCTCCCTGCTCCTTGGGAGCCTGCTTCTTCTTCTGCCTCTCTCTCTCTCTCCCTCTCTCTGTCTCTCATGAATAAATAAATAAAATCTTTAAAAAAAAATTCAACCCTGGTATTGCTATACTAGAATTGTAAGAAATACAATTTTGTCCTGATAGCTGAGAAAAACTCTATGGTTTTTCACACCAATATGATAGCCTCTGAGATGTGTTTTTTGTTTGTTTGTTTTTCTTAACTGCTGTTTGGAATGGAAAGATGTATCTTTTTTTTAACTTTTTCATCTTCCTTATCAAATGATGAATATACCAGTCCTAGTACCTCAAAATCAAGAAGGAAAAGAAGTGAGCTAGATATTCTGGCCTCCTAAGGATTGTTGATACTACAGTGTTCAAGGTGAATAATTTTTTTTAAGGCACACTGCTTCTTAAGAATCTCATCAATTATAAGGGCTCACTATAGCAGATAGCCTCCCATAAATAGAGGCAAATGTAAGAAGAATTTTGTAATCTTGGGGACAAGCTTGAATATGAACAGCCCAGGGTCAGGGCATGGAGACTGAGTCATGTGCCTTTTTTCACACTCATCTCCTTTGCCAGTTGAGAATCCACGGTGAGCAGTCAGAGGAGAGGCAGATCTGGACAGTCTGTTCATCTTGGGGTTGGCATTCTTTCTCAGAGTCCTACGGATGAAGGCAGCATTGAGCCATGTGGGAGAGTGACAAGCAAAATTCTACAAAGCTTTTCAAGCAGACAACATGCTAATGTCATGGGATGAAAGAGTCAGTGGTGAACTATCAAATTTAGGTAACATAGGAGTGAGGTAAATTTCCCTGAAAAAGGCTAAAAGCAGGGGTCACAAAGTCTTCATGCAAAAGTCCCCCAGTATGGGGCTATGTGGGTGAGGTAGTCTGATGACCTCATATGAAATGTGGTTTTTAAAATCAAGATTGTACTTCCAACTCCTAGTAGATGGACCAAAGACAAAATACTAGTTCAAGTAACTGGACTAGTCACATACACTTGGTCAATGCTCATTTCTCTTCTTCTAGGGAAACATTCAGACTATCAGAGCACATGCTAGAAAATATCATGCTTTATTAACCAGAAAATCATGACAGCAAAAAGTTTAAGGAAAAAAATCAAGAGAGGGAAGACTAGTTGTTTGTGGACACACCCTCGATTCCATAATGATTAACCCACTAAGTTTCAAAGAATTTATAAGTCAACCTCAGACACAACCCTGCCAGAAGGCGGGCCTTGACACATACTGAATTTGAGCATATGGTCTCTTAGTAGTGTGCTCAGCTTTGGGTATGTGTAAGAAAATAGGCCCTGATAATTAAAACAGCACATTTGTTTATAAGCATAACTTGATCTGGGCATATTGCTAGCAATTTTAGCCAGTGCAATGTTTCTTTCAGGACTAATTATTGATCTGAACTTGATATATATTCTAAATGATTTCTCTCACTAAGTCAGGAGAGTAAATGCTTTCTGTTGGGTGATGAACAGTTTCAAAGTTCTCTCGGATCATTCTGAATCGTGTAGGTGGAAATCTGGATACACAATTACACTGGAGACAGTCTCTTTTGGTAACTCTTCTTCACTAATCAAGTAATTTGCATTTCAAGATATCTACTTGGACCCATAGGAGAAATGATGAATCTGGTGTTCAAGATCATGTGCTTTTGCCAATTCTCTGTCATCTCAGTTTTTGCCATTTTCATTACCGATTGTATAGACATGGAGGCATTTCATTTAGATATCTGGCCTGAAGCGAATGTCTCCAAATGTATATCTGTGGGCTAGCCATTGGGGGCAGAGCACTGCAAAAGGCATTACCCTTGTAGGATGAAAGTCTAACTAATGGAATCACAGCAGGAGTGCCTCAGAATAAAACATCTACAAAGAGCAAAGCAGGGAGGACAATAGCTCCTCCAAGAATTGATAGGCATTCTTCTAAAAAAGTCCCACGAGGCCTTGTGAGAAGACACATTTCCTATTTATTTGCAATCCTTGATTCTAGAAATATATTGGGGCTTACAGCATGGATAAATAGATCAAATCATCCCAATCAAAAAGAGCATGAAAGTAAAACCAGCTCTAACTCACAATTTGAAAGATGAACACCTCTAACTTAACTTTCAATTGCCACATGGTATGTCATAAAATGACGGCAAAATGTGTGCCTTAAGGTCATGACTTCAGATCATGTCGGGAGATTGATCATGAGGTCATGTGATGCGCCGGTCTGTACCTGGGCTTGGGGGACTGGTAGCCTGAGTGACAGTTTATCCTGGAACATAGAGTCAAATCAGTTGCCACCTTCTGGACAGAAAATGTTTTCTATACTTTAAGTTCTCTGACAAATACTTTAATACTTAAATGCAAATACTTAATATTAAGACATTATATAGTCTTCTACAGTGAGTGCTCAGATTACAAAAGAATGTTCTCCTTTCATTCTCCTATTATTTAAACATTATTCAATACCTAGATGGTCATTTGACACTCATTTAAAAACCTATTGCATTTGTACTTGGCTCAAAATAAGGTGCTGATTAAAAAAGCCACTTTTCACCCCCTAATGCAGATAGATCCATACACCCCAAAATGCAGCAATGGAAATTGATTTTCTGCCACATATCATGAAATAATCAGAGAAATACAACATAAAGCAAATATTTACCCCCATGGGGAGAATGAAGCTCAGTTTTCCTAACGGACATCAGCAAAGTCCATGGTTTAAATTACAGATTAACAAAGGACTCATGAGCTCAAAATTAAGTTATTCTGTTTAAAATCAATCACTGAAACTGTCATTCTGCTTATTGCTTTGACTTCCTAACAAAGGTTTAAATGAAGACTTTATGTGCAAGTAGAGAATGGCAAGAGATCTGCTCTTTTTCAGACCTGCGTGGGCTGGAGGGGCAAACGTTTAGGCTATTAATGTAATTAGAATGAAGAATGTATTTTTCCAGGAAAAAAAAAATCTTTACCAAAAAAAAAAAAAATCCCACCAATCCACAATTAATCTATTATCTGGGGTGGGGGGAGAATGGCAAGGAGTAGAAGGTGGGGCACATTTAGAAAGCACTAGATGCATTGATACCAGAACATTCTGGAGGCGCCAGGCAGGAAATCTGGAATTACTCTAACTTTTCTTTGCAGAGGCAGGCACCAGAACTGGGGAAAAGGGTCCAGAAAGAAGATTGCCTTTGCTAGCAAAGTACATTCAGGTTGTGGTGTTGAGAAAGAGCATTTCTGATCATTCGGCTTTGTGTTGGGTCACCACTCCAGCGCTGAACAGCTCCCCAATGGCCTTGTCATTGTATCCGAGGACCTCCCTCAGGATGTGCGTTGTGTGCTGCCCGAGCAGGGGGGGTGGCCTGGCCTCTGACATCTTGAACTTACTGTATCTCACAGCTGGGCCTGTCAAAAGAGGAGGAAAGCAGGAAGCCTGTTAATGACTAACCCTAGGAAATTCATTACCCAAGCAGCCTGGGGTGTTTTCAATGAATGCCAAGACTATCACTGCCAGTTACAAAATGGTGGCGCATTTTGGAAAGAAATGTATTTTTAGGTGAGGTTTTCTTGACTCGGTTTCATCCAACTGTGCCGTGGTCATCTGACCTGCCCATGCGGGGGGCAGGGAGGGGGGTTGGGGGGGGTATGTGTGTGTCTGGTGTGTGCCAGCCCATGCGGAAGTGGCCAGTCCTGTCACCAAGACTCTTGGGGCTCAGTCACTCAGCTTGGTCGACTCTCTGGATCCAAGAGAACAAGGACCACAGGTACATAGTGTCTCTCTGAAGCTGGAATCTGACCCAGGTGAAGGTAATCTGGATGTTTTTTATTCAGTGTCTCCTATATAAACTATAAGGTTTAATTCAACAGACCGCAGATCAACTAAAGCTCTGCTAGACCCTGCTGAAGACTTTTGGTGGGAAAAGAGGTGAAATGTGCAAGTTTTGTAATCAGGGAGATCTGGGTTTGCATGTGCAGTGCAAGGGGGAGGGGATATTTATTCAGCTGTTTGCAGAGCACTGAGCCACTGTGCACAGGGTAACTCAGGGAGGACTTTCAACAACTGTTGGAAATGGATTTTATGATCCTCATTCTCCACGGTAAGGACACGAAAGCCCAAAAAGCTCAAGTTTTGCTCAAGGTCACAAGACTAATAATTAGTATCACCGGGACTCCCATCCACGTCCACTGAAACCATCTTGCACTCTCTATAACCTTAGCAGCCTGCTCTTCCTTCTCCAGTTTTCCCCAGAGAAGCTGTTTGGGCGCCACGGAGCATGTTGTTTCAGCAGATTTCTACCTTTGCTGCCTCACTCAATAAATGGTATTTCTGTTGGCTGTTCTTCACAGCTCATTTGATTAGGCTTTGGGAAAACAAATTAGATAGTCACAAGAAGACTACAAAACAATGCATTTCTATCTCATAAAAATTTTTCCAGCCTGCTCCTGATTTGGGGCGCACAGAGGAAGGACACGCAAAACCAAAGCCCATGTAGGTAACACAACATCAGTGAGTAGAGCAGCAAATGTGCTTCAAGCTCTTCGGAGAATTCCCTTAATAAAAAGTAAGCCACTGTTGATGATAGAGAGGACACAGACCTCCCCAGACCATCAAGCCACACTGTGAAACACACCATTCACTATGGACAAATGGCAACTTCCAACTGATGACCAAAGTTTTGCTTCTTTCTTCTCCTCACCCTTCTTTTTATTGTCTTAAATTGTATTTTTTACTGAAGTAGAGTTGACACATAATGTTACATCAGTTTCAGGTGTACAACACAGTCTACCCATTATGCTGTGCTTCCCATAAGTGTTAGCCACCATCTGCTGCCACACACACCGGTGTGGTACCACAGACTGTGGTTCCCTGTGTTGTGCCTTTCATCCCCCTGACTTGTTCATTCCATAACCGGAAGCCCATACCACCCACTCCCCTTCACCCATTTTGCCCATCCTCCCCCTTCCCTCTGGCAACCACCAGTTTGTTCTCTGTATTTATGGGGCTGTCTCTGCTTTTTGTTCGTTTATTCATTTGTTCCATTTTTAGAAGCTGCAAAGAAGCTCACACTTCCTTCTAAATGCCCTAGTGCAGACTGCTTTCTCACTGGTCCATCTCTTTTCAGTCAAGGAGCACCCAATGGGAGGCAGGGTCCACTATTCTCATGAAAAGGTTGATAATTTGATGTTTTAGGGATGTGATCCTTATTCACTGCTCTCAGAGTGGGTTCCAATTTTGACATTAATGAACAAGTTTTAATCTAAAACATGTCTTTCAAAAGAAGGATGCCGCTGAGAGAATCAATGTCATGTGACTTCTTCCTAACTGAATGATCTGGAGTGAGACTTCCAGCTGGAAAAGAGTCACTTGACTACACCGAGAATCTGGGCTGGCCAATGCTGCTGGGAATACTGCTGGTGGTCTCACCACAGCAGCTGCCATTTTTTCAGAACTTAGGGTGCATTAACCACTGAGCCATCATGTCTGAGAACCCTCACAACAATCCCGGACAGACACTGAAGGTCAAGGAGGCTTAGGGTACAAGTGTCAGAGTGAGGGTTCAGGTTAGGGAATGAGAATAACCTGTCCAACATCACCCAGGTGGGAAGTGAGAGTCAGTTCCCAAGTTTGTTGGGTGCAAAAACTTGGGTTTTTAAACAAAATAATAATTTGTTAAGGTGAAGTTCACATAACAGAAAATGAACCATTTAAAGGTGAACAATTCAGTGGCATTTCATATAGTCTCAATGCTGTGCAATGACCACCTCTATTTAAGAGTTGCAAGACATTTCCATCACTCCAAAGTCAGACTCTCTATCCCTGAAGCAGCTTCCCTCAACTCAGTCCTCCCCTGGAACTCCTGGCAACAACCACAAACCTACTTTCTGTCTCTGGAGTGATCTATTCTGATATTGCCTATAAAAGGAATCATACAATATGTGACCTTTTGTGTCTAGCTTCTTTCACATAGCATAATGTCTGAGATCCATCCATCTAGCAGCATGGATCAGTACTAAGAACCTGGACTTTGAGCCTCGATGTGGTGATGACAGGAAGGAATCTTCACGTCCAGCCATACTAAAGGGCAGTTCAACTTGTGTTACTCCCACTATACGCTATGCTTTCACGGTAGCTTCCAGATCTACGCCAAAGACTCTGCTACCAGTTCCGGATGAGAAGTATTTAACATTTTATGCAAAAAAGTCTTATTTTTTAATAAAGATTTTATTTATCCATTTGTCAGAGAGTGAGAGAAAGAGCACAAGCAGGGGATAGCGGCAGGCAGAGGGAGAAGCAGGATTCCCGCTGGGCAGGGAGCCCGATGCAAGATTTGGATCCCAGGACCCTAGGATCATGACCTGAGCTGAAGGTAGACCCTTAACTGACAGAGCCACCCAGCTGTCTCCACAAAAAAGTCTTAAAGAATTTAGAATGGTATTACTAACTACAATTTACTAGAATGGTATTATTAAAGAACTAGAATGGTATTCCTTGTTAGCATAAAGGCACTTAGAAAATACTGTATGTTTGGAAAGCTTATGCTTCTCTAAATAATTGTTTGTTATTAAAGAAGGCATATCACAGGTTAATAAATTGTATATGCTTTTCCCTAAGCCCCTTCAGAAATCAGGTATTTTGCATATGGTTGAGTTCAGAAAGATTCTGAAGCTGGGGTTCGTTCATGTAATTTAAGATCAAAGTATAGTGTATATGTACCTGTACTGTACTAGGAATTTTCAAATCTTAATTTTTATACATTTTTAAAATAAAGTATTGTTTTGCCATGTGGTTTATTAAAAAACAAAAATTTATAGTCTCTGTAATATATATATGCAATGGGACAAATAAAGGTGATATCCAGGTCCCAGAGCAAGCTAAGTTCCATGGACATCCCTCCCAGTCTAGCTTTTGCACAGAGGGAATAAAGTCCTTTTAAAATACATTTGTCTCAAGAAGTACAAAACGTTTGACACAATTATTTACATCTAAGGTCCAGAAAGAATGAATAATTTGATCTTCCATTAAAAAAAGAGCAGATAAGTCACATGTTCTTAAATTACTTTCTGGCAAAGTCACATCTATGTTCACATATGCTTTCAAACACTTGCAAGCTGTGTGATCTTGAGAACTCTTAAAGTCCCTGAGCCTCAGGCTACATATTTCTAAGATGAGGTTGACAATACCTACCAAGGGTTGGTTTGAGCATCTGAGTAATATAATATGGGTGATATTCAATATCAGTAATAATCAAAGAAATACATATAAAGATAATAAGGTACAATTTTGTTTATAAAATTAGCAAATCTTGTGGCAATTTTGGTTTGTTTTTAAGAGGTCAGTGACCAGTAGGAGTATAAATTGGTACAGTCCTCCTGGCGGGAATTTTGTCAACTAAATATGAAGAGTTTTAAAAGTGTTCCCATACTTGAATGGAGAAATTCTGCTTTAAAAATGTTCTTCTATGGGTTTAATCAGGATGTTGACAAATTCCATAGGCAAGGATCTACATAAATTTCAAAATATACTCAATACTCTTAATACCTATCTCCTTCCCACATAGCTTTCTAACTTACAGGCTGTAAGGGTTCTTTGTGTGTTATTCTGTACTTTTTTTTAAAACACTTTTAGCTTCCAAAAGTTACTTTGTTAGGACTAGGTGTTTACCAACACATTCCTTCATATATTGTGCCCATAGGTCTATCTCCTACCCCTTCCTTCCAGATGAAGAGGTCACATAGCTACCATATTGAAAAATATTTGGAAAATATGTCTAAAACCTGAGCACTGGTTAAATAAATTACAGTGCATTTAGATGATGGCAACTGGTCTGTACAGTAATTTCAAGTTGTATTTTGGGGGGTTTTGAACACAAATCACTCTCTCCTGAAATACCACTGACATAAAAGTCTAGAAATTAAACAAATAAATATAAAAATTCATGAGTGAAGAGAATGGGTGGTAGCATCACTAATGAATGAGATACTTCAACAAATGTAAGAATGACATGGACAGGATAATGTTGATGTCTTAAAAGGGGTAGAGGAAACGGGTGTTAATGGTCCATCTCACCCCCCAAGAGGTTGTGATCTTAAAATCAATGGTTATGAGAAAGACAGGTCTTAGAAGTAGGACAGAAAGCAGAAGGATTGACTGTGTCAATTTTGACTGACTCACTAGTTTGCACTAGCAACTAGAAGAAAAATGAAGCTTGCTTTCAAGTTTCAACATGAAAATGATATTAAACCTACAACTGCCTACCCAAACAAATGATTAATCAAATACGAAGACGTGTTCAAACTTTCAAAGATTAAAAAGTTTATGAAGTTTCTTGATGTCGAATCCAGTAGAACATGGGAGTCAATAATAGAAGGATAAAATTCTGGTACACGGTGAGAACCAACTAGGA